AGTAGAATGCAAATGATAATGTAGCATAACATGTCCTACTGTTGTGGTATCATGTGGTACATATTACTGTGTTGGGAAATAATACATCAGTATGTGTGGTACATATTACTGTGTGGTATCATGTGGTACATATTACTGTTCTGGGAATGGGTATGTATCTATGCAAACAGTTTAATGTGTCCAAATTTCCTATATCTTGATTAATATACATAAGATTGAATAAGTTTCATAAATACCTTCAGCTTATTCTTTGATGAAACTTTCTTAGCCGCTGTTCATTCAACAAAATCATCCGGTGATCTGTCCTTCTCTGTTCCATCGTCAGCGATAAGTGGCCAGGTTCCAAAACCACCATCTTTCAATTCCAAATACTCCATGCGTCGGAGGTAATCCATATTCCACACAGTAATAGCTGGCCACCTTCGTTCAACTTCAAACTTCTTGCATTCTGTCAAGTCCGTATACAAGAACTTTGTACAATAAAATGTGAAAATTGGTTAGTATACAATAATCAATTTGCTAACATCAAAAGTTTCAAACTAAGTATACACGTACCGTCAAGAACGTTATTGGACCTGAGTAGAGTGTCTCAATGTTCTTTTCCCTATTCAGTATGTCCTTGCTGGTTCTTAGGCAATCAAATACATATTTGCTCCAATCTATGCTTGATATGTCAGTGTCCTCTGTTAGGTAATTGAGAACCGCAAGGTTGCAATGACCACAAGAATTGCATTCTGCCATGGTGGAAAGAAACAACATCAAAAAGTTAATCCGAAACTCGAAATCTGCATTATCGGACTCTTCAACTTTCTTCATCACATCGGATATTCGTACTCTTTTCCCAGGGAATTGTGATCTCCAAGACTTCTTTAAATTTTTGTTTCGTGGAGCTGGGTCTGTCAAATAAATATCAACTCCTCCAACAGGGGTCCCCAGCATATCATGCACCATCTTCGTATTCAACTTAATTGTCCCTTGTCCCAATCGAAGCTCCATCGTGCATGTGTCCAGCTTGTCCACCAAGTAAAATGCTAATTTGGATGGTATGTAATCTGTCCTCATTTTCAATATACCACCAAACCCCATTTCCTCAACCGCTCTTTTCTGATAATCATTCAGTGACTGAATAGCCACACACAGTGGCCTAGGTGTGGTCCGGACTCTAATTGTTTGCATCGTACCTGACTTCTTCTTTCTAGTGCTTTTAACGACGACCTTTTTTCCAATTTTCTCTTTTCTTGGACTCCTACCAACAGTAGTTGATTTTAACTTCTTACCTTTTGTAGTTGTTTCTTTTACATTCTTTGAGCTGCTTCTTGTTCTAATTGTGTTATCCAATTCAACATCATGCGTAGGTGAATTTGCTCGCTTATCTTTTCTGATTGTGCCTTCGAAGCAGATGGTAGAATAACCCTTATTCCTGAAGATGTGGTAACCACTGTTGGTTTAACTGCAAATTTGTTTAATTAACAGTGCCGTTATAATTCAGTATAATATTGTATATGGAATTTTTAGCTATAACCTCAGTGATAATGTATGTAGTTACGTACATTGCCTGTTGCCACTCGTATTCTCATTGTTTTTTTTATTTGATTTATATGAGCGTCAACTTCCGGGATCGTCACCTTCTTCTCTTTAAGTCTTTTTGCTTCGTTTGCACATATTTTTGCTCCCTTCTTCTCCTTCCTACCAATATCTCCTTCTTTTTCTGTATTCTTATCATTATCTCGCTTCCTCTTCGATTTTTTTCCACCTGAAAGATCAAGAAAAATCAATATTAGACCAAAGTGTAAACTAGAGCAGAAGACGCAGTAAAAACAATGATAAAAGTCACTTTAGAAAAGCACATGCATGGTTGCATGAGAATACACAAACACTGCCATGAGTACTGAATGGAAGTTTGAAGGCATATTATTTAGTCAACTACCATATGTCGTCAGCTTCAATCACATTATTCAATGAACTTGAATTCAAAATCTCCATTCATATTATTTCTGTGACAACTCTGTGTCCGTATAGTTTACCACAATGTAGCACAACCACAGTGTGTTTATGTTAACAATGGCTCACTAGCTAGCCATTGATGGAAAGAAATTGAACAGTCTAATCTT